ACACACACACACACACACACACACACACACACACACACGGGAGTTTTATTCAGCCATAAAGAAAAATGAAATTATGTCATTTGAAGGAAAATGGATAAAACTAGAAACCATTATGTTAATAAGTCAAACTCAGATGTCAAGGGTTGTATGTTTTTTTCTCATATACGGAACTAGAGAGGAAAAGGTAAAGAAAGGTAGGTGTGGTTAGATATCACAAAAATCAAAGGGAGATCAGTTAAGAAAAGGGACTAAGAGATAGAGGCGGGGTGGAAGGGAGGAAGCACTGGGAAGTGATACTGGCCAAATTATATTGTTATACTGTGTACCTATACAAATATGTGATAATAAATTCCATATTATGTACAACTATAATGCACCAATAAAATAAATAAAAAACTGGTCTTTTATTTTAAGATGTTCTTAATCATTCTAGCATATAAGAAAAATTATAAACTATAACAAAAGACAAATGAGTTCAAACAAGAAATAAGAACAAAAATATAGAAACTTTTAAAACTCACTGTGTAAATAAGCATTGTATCCATTCAATTAACCAGTTTTAAAATATTCATTGCTTATCAAACTGAAGTAAAACTCAGGGTTAAATTCATATGGTGGAAGATAAAGCAAAATACCAATAAGGGGTACATACTATGATGGTAGCATGCACAGAGGAAGGAAAAGCACATAAAGAAAAATCCAAAGAAAATAAAGGGTTCACAAGTATGATTTTTAGCCTTCAACTTGGAGTTGTTCATCACACACACAAGGGAATAAAGGTACACAGAATAAATGGTCTAATGTACAAACAGGAAAAGTAGAAACAATAGCAATATGTTCAATAAGCTCCAAGAAAGTAGGGTATGAGAGTGGGAATAACAGGAGATGAGGCTAAAACATTAGGTAGGGGCTAACCTATTGATCACTGGCATACAAAAAGGCATAGACTTCAGTGACAATAAATAGGAGGATATGATCTGATATTCCCTCTAGCAAGATAACTCTAGCCTCAGTATAAGAGATGAACTTGAGCTGGAGTTGTGGCTCAGTGGTACAGCACTTGCCTAGTATGTGTGAGGCACTGGGTTTGATCTTCAGCACTACATAAACTAAACAAATAAAAGTATTGTGACAATCTATAGCTAAAAAATAATACATATATATTAAAAAAAGGAAGAGGTGCACTTGAATAGAATGCAGCAGGGCAAGAAGTAGTGGATAAGTAGGCATTGAACTGCCAACTGACTTTCATAAATAACAAGGAAAAAAAATGTTAAATGGTAGGCTTTGCTTTTCAAAAGTGTGACCCATGACTTAGTAGCACTAGGTTACCCAGAAGTTTGTTAGAAATTTCCCACCCTGGATAAAGTGACAATGCTTTCAATACTAACTCAAGCTATTAAGATTACCTGTAGCAGCATTCTTTTGTTGGAACTTGGTTAAATACATATTCATTCCTTTCTTAAAGTCCTGAGAAAACACAATTTTTAAATCCAGAAGAGTCAGATTTTGGAATTTACAATATATATGCATATTAGTAGTCAAAAGCAAAATTTACTCAATTACTAAAGTATCAGATATACTGAAAAACATCTATCCCTCTAACATTTACTACCTTTTAAGAATGTATACACTTAGTCTTCTAATTAAAGTTTTAAATCAGCCTCCCATTACCATCCCAAAACATACTTGGCACATTTTTCTTCTAAGAGACCACAACAGCAAATAAAATAAAAAAAGAAATGAAGATAAGCCAAAAATTACCTAGGAACTTAATTTTTTAAAAAGCCAGACATTTTATCCATGCAAAATTTAGGATTTCACCACAAAAGAATGGAAGATTTTTTAAAAAAATTGCTCTTTTACCTTATCCCCAATGTAGTCATGTAGCATTCGGATGACAGATGCACCTTTGCTATATGATATAGCATCAAATATCTCATCAACCTCAGATGGATGGCCCACACTGACCTGGCAGACAGTGTGATTCAGGGTTATGACAGGAAGCAGACAGCCTGTAATACTGAATTACATAAAGAGCTTTCTAGGAAAACCCTTCTAACTTATAGTTTTCTGCCTTTAGATCACTCACAATGTGTATCTTAACCCTCAAAAGGGCATAGTAACTAGTATTAATGAAGTAGAATATATAACACAATCCCCGTTATCTTTCAGAGCCTAGGTTCTAGTCCTGACTCTGCTCTTCTGGCAGGTAAATTGTTACAGCTCTGTTTATTCTTGGTGGGGAGTGGGAGGGAAAGGAATATAGAGATGTAAAACATTTGATTTCTTATGTTAATTTTAACTATTCATAAATATATCAATCTTAGCTAAGTATGTCAAAGTAGGATTATAACTCTAGTTCTCTGAATGTAAAATATATATGTATATACTAACTGAAGTAAGGATAGGCTAACTCAAGAGAATTAAAATATGCACAAAAACATAATGACAATAATGAAATAATCTGTCCAGCATTTTCCTTCAGAGAAACAATGGAATCATAGTGTTATTTAAGACATATGGTTCCTACAGTATCATTCTACAAAAATGTACATAGCACCGTCCAAAATTTTTATATGAGCTACCTTAAAATGAAATATTAATTAGAACTTATTCTTTTTAGATCTTCAAGACTGGAAATATGAACTATAAAAACAAGTGAAGGATAGGGATATAGCTCAGTGGCAGAGCACTTGCTTAGAATGTACAAGTTCCTAAGTTCAATTCCCAGTATTGCAATTTTAAAAAAAGTGGAACCATTCGTGCAATTTTTCTGGCTTTCAGAATCCTAAACTTCTCCATAATTAATTATTCATTTCACTGAAAGGAAAGCAGTCATAAGCCAATGGTTGGAAAGTATAGCTCACTTCAATAGGATGGCTGTTATCTAAGGCATCAAGCTCCTGGGCTCGGGTGTAATCAGCAGAAACAAACTGAGTCCAGATATCATACTCTGGAAAGCAGTGGTCTACACATAGATACTCAATCCAGGATGCGAAGCCTTCATTCAACCAAAGATGAGTCCACCATTCCTAAAAACAAAAGGTTGAAATATTTGAAAAAAACAAAATGACTGCAATTCCACTAATTTGAAAAGCATGTCCCTTCTACTATCCTCCAAAACTTACGATTTAATCAACTAAAATTAAATTGAAAACATTTGTGAAAAAAAGAGAAGCATCAGATGTCAACAAAGACCAACTAGATATCAGAGTCATGACTGAGAGACATTTTCAAAACATTGCTTAAATAACTTCTTACTACCAAAGGACAAAAGAAGGAAAGTGGGAGGGAAGGAACCTACAAATGGATAGGAAAAGAGAAAAGATAAATACAGGTAAGAACAGAGGTATCATTACATAAAATGTAGTTACAAATTTTTCTTAAACAAACAACAAGAAACCCAGAAAGCTATCAGAACAAAACAGGAAAACTGGAAATTATTTCTATAATGACTAGGAAAAAAAATGAGAAGCTGATTTGAACTTTCTAGATAAATAGAAAAACAATACTACTTCAATAAGATTTATGTGAAATTAACAGAAATGTCATAGCAGGAAGTAGTTCTGTAATGAATGTATTTAAGCATTTATGGAATTCAAAATTCTCACTATTTTAAGAATATATAGCAAGGGGCTGGGGTTATAGCTCAGTCGCAGAGCACTTGCCTAGCATGTGTGAGGCACTGGGTTTGATCCTCGACACCAAGTAAAATAAAGGTATTTTGTGTGTGTGTGTGTGTATATACATATATATGTATGTATGTATGGAGAGAGAAAGAAAGGGGAGAGGAAGAAGGAGAAATTAACAAAGAACAAATGGGTGACATAAAAATAAAAAATTACATTTTTTAAAAGTCAACTTTTTAGACAGTTATCTTAATCTAATTTTTATTAAAGTTGATTATAGGGGCTGGGGTTGTAGCTCGGTGGTAGAGCACTTGCCTAGCATATGTGATCCTCAGCATCACATTAAAAAAATAAATTAATTAAATAAAGGTATGGTGTCCATCTATTAAAAAAATAAAAAAGTTGATTAAATTTCTTAGCAAAGGAAGGACATATATTAATCTAAGGCAGAGACCAAAATCCTAGTGTAAAACAAAAGTATTTAGAAATACTGAAAAGATCAAATACTTTTAACATTATAAGATAGGTGGCTAGTTATCTCAGTGCTACTTAACTAGTAGACTCTATTAAAATAAACTGTTCTTCAACTCACATGGAGTTTCAGTTTATCAAACAACTCACATCTATAATAATTAGAACGGTTATATAAATCCAGTAAAAAGTTGCTGGTAAACAATATGCACACATTTCCTTTACTAAAATTTATGGTAGTTTCAAAATAAAATCATAAGTTTTCTAAAAGCTAAGGAAAAAATTTTGATAGAAAGTAGCAAACTGCTTCATTAAAAGATAATTTTTTGCATGTATTTGAATGCAAGCACTAACACACATAATTCCACATGAAATTTTATTTCAAAAAATTTTTTTTCATTTGTAAGTAAAATTTTAAATATTCAAAGGTAAAGGAAAGAGTTTATTTTCAAGGACTGAATCAGGCATGTCATACTTGAAAATGCCATACTTTGTTCCTTGTTTCTAAAACATACATATGAATTTAAACAACATTCAAGCCAGGATCAACACTTTAGCAGCCTAAAATGCTATCAAGGAATCTGGCTGGCTCTACAATCTCCAGTTCTTTCACTGCAGAGGTACTTTTAGTTCACTTAATATCCTGTGCTCCTAAGGGCTTCCATAGACAGGATTTATTTGAGTAAGAGTGAAAGGTCAGGACTAATGTACAGATTATTCACTGCAAACACTCTGATAAATGAGGATTTCAACAGCACTGTTGAAATTTTAATATACCTTTATTCTGTAGTCATTCTGTAGTTTTAGCATTTTTTTTTTAGCTTTCATTTCATCATATTTCAACTTAATATTTTAGGAAACAACAAAATGGCCCCCGAAAACATTTCAATCTAATCAAAGATCAGTTTGTTATTTATCTGGTTACATTTCAGCTAGTGAACCACAAAGATGACTCAAGAAACTACAGTTAGCCTGGAATCTCACTGCATGATACATTCATCTTTACCAAAGAGGAATGTTTCTCACCCAATTTAGTATCTTGAAATTCCCCATTTGCAGACAAATTATAGAACAAGTTAAATTGTCCATATGTTCTCAATCAACAGAGAGATTATGAATGCTTTTCAAAGTAGATCTTTTAAAATAAAATTTTTGAATCAATTATTTCTTGGCACAATGTTACAGCCAATCCTGAAACATAATGTGGCCAAAATAATACACAGCAAGATGAAAATAAATATATTTGAGCACTTAAAAATATTAAATACCATAGTAACAAGATTTCCAAACCATTGATGGGCGAGTTCATGTCCCACAACCAGAGCAACCCACTGGCGTGATGAAGAACAGGAGTTTTTTGGATCAATAAGCAATGCAGTCTCCCTGTGTTAAAGGGGGAAAAAATTGAAACAATTAAAATATTGTAATAAAAGCAGACTTGCACAAGTGGGGAACATTCAGATCAATTAGATACCAAGAAAACATTTTTTAGCATACACAGGATAGAAAAAAATTCTAGGAATATTCAAGACTACCCCAAATAGATGTGAAACAGTTTAATTATCTATTTGTTTTCTGAAATTTTAGAAACACTTTGTCTAAGGGATTAGGGATAATTGTGGTAGAGAAGAAGTCCTTCCATTAACTGAGGGAAGTGGTGGGGAAAGATGCATTCCAATGTCCTGAAAAGAACACTGAGCAGGATGTCCAAAACTTAGTGCATCTAAAAAGGCGATTGAAAGTAGAAGGCAAAAAAAATGTTTACAGACTTTGTTTTAAAATTTACACAACCACATGGTTGTGTTGTGGTGACAGAAATGTAAAAACTTGGCTAGAAGATATGAAATCAGAGGTTCTTCAAACTGGATAAATAACTATCAAACTACTGGAGGAAGAAAAGGCACTGAAATGAAAGACTCAGCCAAGAATATATCCAAAAATGCTACTAATGCCAGATGCTCACTTTTAAAATTTTACATGCAAAGATAGTAGCACCAGAGGGGGATGTCCATCTGCGTTTTTGAAATGTGCATGGAACTGGAGGGAGCCAGAAAAATTTATACCAGATCATAAAGCAGAAGCTGCTCAACAGTGATTAGGAGGAAGCCCTTATGAAGACAATGATGAGAAAGATAGGGCAGAGTAATGCATCATTAACATACCTATAAGTAACAAGGCCCCAGTTCTCCATGGCACCTTCATAAAATAAATATAAACATTTATTGATACATATGAATGTTTCTTCCTCAAAAATCTCAAAATTCAAATAAATTTATTACAATTCAGCAATAAAATGAAATTTACTTTACCAGCTGCAAAGTCTGCAATAGCAATGAGATCAATTTTAGGTAGAGGATAAGGAACATTGAAGTAGTCTTTATAAAAAGGCAAGGTTTTAGCAGCAACCTATAAAAGTATAAACAAAAGAACCACCTGATAAGTATTTTATTATAATTCATATAGAAATCCACAAAGGAAACCTGTTGCAAGCCAAAGTATCTCAAGTTACTAGAAATCAATCCCAGGGAGCCCTACTTCCAAAGACTGCCTTAGCCCCAAGCTTTGTATACATTGGCCAAACCCTAATCCATTTGTAATTTGGTATGAAAAAAATATAACTACATATTTTCTTGCCCTTTTCCTAAATAAATAAATTTTACTTTTATATATAATCGTTTTTTTTTTTCAGAGCTAGAGTTTAAATCCACCGCTTTGTGCATGCTAAGCAAGTGCTCTCTTACTGAGCTACATCCCAAGTCTGACTTATATTCTCTGAATCATTTTGTAAAATGTTAATACAACAAAGTTGGTATTTCCAAAGTTCTATTAAAAATAAAACCAAAGTAATACAACAACTTTCAGATTAAATTATAAATAATGGTACTAAGTAATTGATCAGAAATGTAAATTCCCCAACCTGGAGTTATGGACTGTTGGAACAATCCTCTTCAAGTACATTTACCTCTAACGCAAATTTTCCTTGCTCTGCTTTGCCAACAGGGGTGTAAACACGAACACACACACCATCTTTTGACCTTGTTTCTACAAAGTCATATTCACCCACAACAAATGCAACCAGATATGTAGACATAACAGGTGTTCGAGCAAACTTCACTTCCACTAAATTTTCATCATCAGGGTATGGTTTCCGGTCAATTACATTCTTTAAAAAAAAGACAGGGAGAATAAAGAAAATTTAAACAGATTTACACTAATACCTAAGAGTAAACACAGCCAAAGGCTGCAGATTTCAATGTTTTTCTTTTCTACTTTTCAAAATGGCTTGCTTTTCCATCCCAATTCATCCAGTGCTACCAAGATCTTTCCTCTCAAGAAGGAGAGTGATTTGATAAAGCACTCATAAAAACAGCTGGGGGCTAAAATATTCAAATTACGAAGACTTGTGAGAGGAAAAAAAGAAATAAACTTTTTAAAAAATTCTTATTATATACCAGACACTGGGATGTTTTAAGTAAGATTTCAAAAACTTTTCAAATGAAATAAGGATAGGAGAAAATTTATCAATAAAAATAAATATAACAGTGGATTATATTTTAAAGGTACAGATTTCTAGATCTCAAGCAGTCTCTACAATAAGACTGGATCTGAGCAAATTTATAAGAAATGTTCACTTTACCCTCAGAAATTAATTTTTCTCTGGTGTTCTCCTTTTTGTCCTATTCAAACTCTTTCTAATTTCCAAGGAAAATTTATTCAAGAATAGAACCTAATAAATTCATTTACACTAAAATATAAATTAATATTTCAGTTTAATATGTTAGCTTCCTCTCTAGGAATATTTAAGAAGAGAATGACATTCTATCTATGGAATTCTCTCCACTAATAAATAGACAAAAACTACTTATTTTCAGGTACAGTAGGTTTTTCCTAGTGCCTCAGAGTCACACTATAAACTGCCGGCTACTACATGTCTTAAACAAGGCAATTCTAGACAATACACTTCAAGTGATGAATGCTTACTTTATTTATGAATGAGATCAATGACAGTAGTGAAGAGAAAATACACTTTATAGCTATAACTTCTGGTATTTAATAAGAAAATTAAGACCTTTTTGGGTATTCATTTGGGTAATATCTTTTAAATTTCTTTTTATATCTTTAATAAAGAAGTAGATAATGTTATTCATGTATTTAACAAGAAATTTCTTCCATGAGGAGGAAAACTGTCCAAAAAATAAGGCAACTATGAAAAAGAGGGCTTACCTGAAAATAAAGAAAACTAATACTGGTGTTTCTGTTATACACTGTACTAGTGGTTTCATGTTATCCAACCTAATCAGCAAACTAAATATACCTAAGCCTATTAAATATTTAAATGGACTTATAAAACACAAACATACCATATTTGATAAAGCTACTCTGTCTTTAGGAACAACCAGTGAGATATCAAAAGTTGCTTTGATTGCAGGTTCATCCCAGCAAGGAAAAGCCCTCCGGGCATCAGTAGCCTTAAGAAAAAAATATGAAAATACCACGAAATTAAATACCACAAAAATTAAATATCAAAGTACCACAACATTAACCTAAAAGGTAATTTCAAGACATAATCACCATTTCTCCATCATTCATTCCTTCATTTGATCAATGCCAGGCAACAAGCTACAATACTAATTACTAAGAAAATAAAATGCTTGCTCCCTTTGTCATACCAGCAATTATCTAGGAACTAGGTCTACTATAGATCTTAACAAGATATGGGAATCATTTATAATTATATATTTGCTTTTAATAAAACATTTCAAATTTAATGTAATTGACTTCACCAGTAATGCTAACATAACACAAAGCACAGAACACTCAACAGTATGCTGTAAGGATTCAGAGCTGGGAAAACATGAAAGGCTGCCTCTCTCGCTTTTATTTTAAAATTAAAGTATTCTCCATCTGGTGTGTTTGTGTGTTTTGTTGTTTGTTTGTTTGTTATCTGGAATGGCAGCAACGGGAATAAAGATAAATGCTCTGTCAATTCAAAACAGGTCATTAGTTTAATAGCATTTCCATACACTACAAGTAAAACTATTACCACCTCACCTACTTAAAAAGACCTCAATCTTTCTTTAAAAATTAAAAAAAAAGAATCAGCTACCTGGGAAGTTGTGGTAGGAGAATTGTAAGTTCGAGGCCAGCCTGGGCAATTTAGCAAGACCCTGTCTTGAAATAAATAAAAAGGGCTAGGGATGTAGCTTGGTGTTAGAGTGCTTGCCTAGAATACTCGGGGTCCTGGGTTCAATCCCAGTTCCATTTATTAAAAAAAAAAAAAAATTAACCAATCAAAATCAAAAAGAATGCATTTAAAGCAAGATAAAATCTAATGTCTCTGAAGGATATCAGTAATAATAAAAGGAACTTTAGAATCAGAACAAAATTATAAAATGGAATGAATGATAAGAACATGAAAAGACATAAAATATGCAGAAGTAGTATATTATTTCTGAAAAAGGATTTCTTTTCCAATGTTAGATGGCTAGCTAACAGCGCACTCAAATTTAAGTAAATCATATGATTCTATCAATGAATACACAAGATAGTAGAAAACATGATATAATGAAAGAAATTACAGCACAGAAAATTTTAAATTAGAAGCAGCAGCTGTAGAGAAATGAATTCATACTTGAGAATATTAAATAAGTGACACAGATAACAAGATTTAAGTTTTAAAATGTCCAAAGGATATAGTGATAAAAGCAATGAAAGGTTCACTTGAGAGACACAGGAGCTAAATTTATTACTAACTGGTGTTCCTGAAGAAGAGATCACAACAGATACTACAAAGAAAATGTAATGGGAAAATTATGCTACATTGAAGGAAGATCTGAATCTGAAAAACCAACAGGGTTCACCAAGTAATATGCAAAACTAATGAAAAGTTAGCTCCTGGTAATTTTTTTTTTAATTTTCAGGATCAAGAAATAATTTGATACTGGGCACACTGGCCCACACCTGTAACCTCAGTGGCTCCAGAGGCTGAGGCAGGAGGATCTCAAGTTCAAAGCCAGCCTCAGCAATTTAATGAGGCCCTGAGCAACTCAGTGAGACCCTGTCTCTAAATAAAATTTAAAAAGGACTGGGGATTTGGCTCAGTGGTTAAGCACTCTTGAGTTCAATCCCTGGTACCTGCCCCAGCCCCACCCAAAAAAGAAATAATTTGAGAAGGAAGAAAACAAAGCAAAACAAAATAATGTGTTACCTACAAAGGAGAAGAAACACTCTAGTCTGTGATTCCTCTTGATAAAATGATTTGTGAATGACTTTGGAAAAATATTTATAGACTTTTGAAAGGAAAAGTTTTTAAGCTAATTGTATTATTCTTATAGTTGAACAATCTGGGCTTACTACTCACTGCTGTAAGAATTCATACCAGAGGGAACTACAGGATGTTTCACCACCCTATTATATGATTTGGCTGGGTAAGCTGGGACTAGGAAGAAGAGATTCACTCCAGGTAGAGTGCTGTCAGAAAGTAGGGGCAGGAGCTAGGCACAGGGACATGTGCCTATAATCTCAGCAGTTTGGGAAGCTGAGGCAGGAGGATCACAAGTCTGAGGCCAGCCTAGGCAACTTAAAAAGACCAAAATAAAAAATAAAAGCTTGGAGATGTAGCTCAGTGGTAGAATGCTACTGTGCTACATCCTCAGTGCCAAAAGAGAGAAAGAGCACATGAGCAAGTAAGGGCAATTCTAAGAGTGGGTATTTAAAAAAACCCATAGGGAGGGCAGCCTAGAGCAAGCATAAAACTATAATGGGTAAAAATGCAGTAGTCACTCATTTTAACAGACAAATGGAGATATTTGGTATTTTGTGAGCCAAAATGACCTTGTTTTTGTCTATGCCTAGATGAAATTATGAAGTATTCTTGTTTTGTCTCACTTTATCATGGTCTCAGATTTCCCTTATCTGAGGTTGGTATTTTGTGATATTGTTTATGACCAACAGGAGAAAAACACAGACCAGAGCAGCTTCCAGATAGCTCTTTTGTTTTTCATCAACAAATCTATATACCCAGTAAAACTGATCAAGTATAAAGGCAAATAAAAGGTTTTCAAATATGTAAACGCTCAGAAATTATACCACACATACATCCTCTCTTAAAAAAAAAAAAAATTTGGAGGCCAGGCAAGGTGGCACACGCCTGTAATCCCAGCAGCTCAGAAGGCCGAGGAAGGAGAATTCCAAGCTCAAAGCCAGCTTTAGAAATTTAGCAAGCCCTAAGGAACTAAGTGAGACCTGTCTCAAAAAATAAAAAAGGGCTAGAGAAGTGGCTCTGTGATTAAGTGACCCTGGGTTCAATCCCTGATGGATGGATGAATGGATGGAAGGAAGGAAGGAAGGAAGGATGGATAAACAAAGAAGTTGGAAAATGAACATCATCAATTCTATCATTAATTCATATTGAAATTTACAGAAATAAAATTAATTAGATTTAATACACGGAAGGAAGGAAGGAAGGAAGGAAGGAAGGAAGGAAGGAAGGAAGGAAGGAAGGAAGGAAGGAAGGAAGGAAAATTGTTTTGGATACATACTCCCGTCAACATTCCAGGATGAAGTGTTCAAAGGATTACAAAAAGGCTTTAGAATCATTCAGACAGAATTAAGCCTAAACAGTAGTGGCAAATGTTATATTAAAATAACAGAAGGAGGGCTGGGGGTGTGGCTCGGTGGTAGAGCACTTGCCTAGCATGCATGAGGCACTGGGTTCGATCCTCAGCACCACATAAAAATAAATAAGTAAAATAAAGGTATTATGTCCACCTACAACTAAAAATTAAACAAACAAACATCAACAACAAAAAAAAAACAGAAGGAACCAGGCGCACTGGAGCACGCCTGTAATCCCAGTGGCTCCTGAGGCTAAGACATGAGGATTGCAAATTCAAAGCCAGCCTTAGCAACCCAGCAAGGCCCCAAGCAATTCAATAAGATCCTGTCTCTGAATAAAATACACAAAAGGGCTGGGGATGTGGCTCAGTGGTTAAGTGCCTCTGGGTTCCATCCCCAGTACCAAAAACAAACAAACAAAAAAACCCAGAAGGTTTAAAATTCTTGAAAGAGAATATATACCAGGTAAAATAAGTTGCACTAAACTGCACCTAAAATTTCAGATTACACAAAACAAATAGTCCAAGGATAAACAAAGAAGTTGGAAAATGGACATCATCAATTCTATCATTAATTCATATTGAAATTTACAGAAATATATTTAATTAGATTTAACACATAAAAATACCATTAGCAGATTTGAAACAATTTATATAACTTACACTTGAAAGACAGCACAAATACCGTAAGTAAGATAAACAAAGGAAATGTCAAAGGAGCAAAATAGCCAGGTATGGTGACATACACCTACCCAGGCGGCTGAGACAGGACTATCAAGTTTGAGACCAGCCTGGGCAATGTAATGAGACCCCATCTCAAATTGAAAAAAAGGGTTAGGCTGTAGCTTAGTAGTAGAATACTTGCCAAGCATGTGCAAGGCCCTCAGTTCATTCCCCAGCAACACACACACACACACACACACACACACACACACATAAAGGAAGCAGTGGTAGCAGCAAAGGAATGTCACAAAATAGCTAATAATGTAGTAGGAAAACCCATAGTTATCAAATATTAAATTGAGAAAGGTAATTAAGAAAGGCACATAGTATAAAAGCAATTCAACGAGGCATGGTAGCACATGACTGTGATCCTAGAGATTCATAAGGCTGATGGGCAGAAAGATCACAATTTTGAGACGAGTCTTATGCAATTTAGTGAGATCTTGTCTCAGGGGGAAAATAAATTGGGATACAGGAGGGATGAAGCTCAGTGGTAGAGGACCCCTGGCTTTTATCCCCAATAAGGGGTGGGGAGGACACAACAGTTCTGGCAGGTATTGAAACTTCTTTCCCTGTATGTGTATATACCTATATATAATCATTCCCAACACACACACTTAATTCTCTCCATTTTGAAGATAGAAACAATGGCTGAATATAAAATATTCTATAATTATGTTCAAAGGCATGTAGTCTCAAATAATTATCCCAAATAGAATAAAGTTTTGTAACATGGTTAAAAATCATAATGTTAGAGAAGAATAACACATACCTCAAACTGTGTTACAGCAGCATAGCGCACCTCTCCAGAAGGGGTAGTATATTTACTTCTATAGAAACCTTTCATTTTGTCATTCAGCTCTCCAACAAAATCTATCTTTAAGGTTCCTGTACCTGTGATTAAAGATAAATAAAAAACACTTTTATGGATATGTTAAGTACAATTATCAAAAATATGTGCTCAAGATACTACAGTCCGTTAGCTATTTACAATGTTCAAATCATTCTTTCCTTTCTCAAACACTCCTGCACTGGAGAGAACAGTCTGAAGTAAATGGCAAACTAATCCTAAAATAACTTTTCAAATCTAGTTTAGGTAAATGCTCAGAAAGTTCTTTATTTTTTTTTTCTTCTGGTACTGGAGATTGAACCCAGGGTCCTTTACCACTACACTACACTCCCTTTCCCCATTCCCTTTTATTTTTGATTGAGAGACAGGTCTTGCTAAATTGTCAGGCTGATCTGGAGCTTGTGATCCTCCTGCCTTAGCTTCCTGAATTACTAGGATTACAGGCGTGAGCCACCTTGCCTGGCTCAAAGTTCTTTAACTTTTTTAACCTAAGTCTCAAATTATGAGTACATGAAGATGGGAACAGGAAAGGAAACATTTATTATTAAATGCCTGACATACAATACTATTCATAGAGTTTTTCAAATATTTATAATTATAAATTTGGAAATAGGTACTATCCTCATTTTTTCAGATGAGGAAACTGAGACTGAAAAGTTATATAGCTTGCTGAAGGTCATAATAATTAGTAAGCAGCAAGAGTGAGATAAAATGTTTTAACCTAAAATTCATGCTCTCTGTCAATTATTCTGTATGGATTGCTCTTTTAAGAAAACTTCATGCACAAGAAGAAAAATGTAGCCAATTACTCCTTCATTAAAGACTGTGCTATCTGTTCAATCCAAATGGAATACTGATTGCATACTATTGTACACAGGGAACACCAATGACTTAATCAGCAAAAAAGGAACAAAACAAACTCAGTTACCTCAGTCAGTTGAACAATGATATTAAAAAAAATCAAATTGTGTGAAATATGATATGTCAAGAACTATGTAATGTTTTGAACAACCAACAATAAAAAAATTAAATTAACAAATTATTAAAATGAACAAATACAAAATACTAAATATGAATTCTATTGTTGTATAGAGCAAAACCAACTTCAGTGTATGACTTGCTTTAAAACAACAACAAAAAATATTATCTAGTGGTCATCTGCCAAATGTACATGCATGGCAAAACAATAATCTCATTTATAAATCAAGCTACCAAAAAACCCTCAAAAATGTTGAATTTGTAATTGATCTTTTTAAAGCCTATTTTTAACAAGGTCCAGAGCATGACAGTCTAACAAATCAAAGATATGGTATAACTACAAAGAAATTAGCCAATCATAAAAAACTTGTTATATTCTAGTGTTTCAAACTGTTATTTTTAGAATGTTGTAGAACAATGTTGATATTGGTCAAAATGTTTTTGACCTTCTTTCTCTTGACATATTATTTTGGATGATATTAAAGTCAAATCTTCATCTTCTAAAACTGAATCTGCTTTTTTGCAAAAATCCAAAATCATGAGAATTGCAAGTTTACAAAATAAGCGAATGACAAATTACAAACTGTTTCTACACAAAAACAAAGCTTTCTTATGTGCCTCAAACTAGTTTGAAAGTAACTTAAATGAAAATTTCAGACCTCTGTAGCAAACCATCACCAAAGACAAGTGCCACATCTTAAAGTAATCATGTTGGAAAATCATAACTCCTCAACTGAAGTTTAATTGAACAGACCATCTGTGATGGTTATTTTTTTTTTTAATCAGACATCTTCGAACATCTGAGGGGACAATGAATACTTTTGTTGTTGTTTTGTTATTGTTGACGAACCCAAGGCTTAAGGCATGACAAGCAGGCAATCCCATACTAACCTATACTCCCTGAATGAATGCTTTTTCTTCAGAATTACAGATTACTGGGTCAATAAATATGAACAGAGAATCTATAAGAATTTTTAGTGATTAATACTAAAGAATTAATAAATAATATGGAATTTTTGAGGGGGAAAATTATTATATTCTATTTTCTTTAGGAATTCACTGAAGTTTTTATTTTTAAAAAAGTTTTTATTTTTAAAAGGTATGTTTGGCTGGGGCTGTGGCTCAGGGGGTAGAGCGCTTGCCTAGCATGTTCGATTCTTAGCATTTAAATAAATAAATAAAGGTCCATCGACATCTTAAAAAAAATGATAGGTATATTCACATTAATAAACTTATGCAAGGAAGATCTAATGGACTAGTAAAACCCACTACTTTAAATGGGACTTGTTTCAGGAATTTTATGTTATAATTCCATTAGTGGAACTGACCAGTCTGTTCTTGCTAAGTCAGCTGTTTTTAATGTAACTCATAATTCATGGTAAATCTACTTTAAACTTTTCCTACTTGGAACAAAAGTGGATTTAAAACTCATAACTAAATAAGAAAGGCTGCTTACACTTTTACTCGGTATTAAATCTCCAAGGCCATCAAACCATAACAAGATATTGACAGTGGCCACTTCCAAAAAGTGGCATACTAAACAAAATACAAAGTATTGGAAAGTTATTACCTGAAATTCAAACAAAACACAAGTTAAAGTTTTTTAAAATCATTAATAAATGTAATTAGTGTCACATTATAAATACTAATTACAAAATACATACTATTAATAAAGTAGAAACTTCTTGACAAATTTCACTTATCAAATTTACACCATATTTATACCATAAAGTAACTGCCAGTTACTCTAATTTATACCTATTCACAGACATAATTTACACTGCTTTTCAAATTAGAGATCTTATTTCAATACCCAGTGTATCCATTTGTGTAGTAAACCTTTTAAAACATAATAGGCTTACTTATAAATTAAACAACTAAAAAAACAGAAACATCCACCAAATGTTAAATGCTAAGACCTACACTCTTTTTTTTTTTCAATTTTTTTTTTTTGTCAATAGACTTTATTTATTTATATGCGGTGCTGAGAATTGAACCCAGTGTCTCACACATGCTAGGCAAGTGCTCTACCCCTGAGCCACAACCTCAGCCCAAGATCTACTCTCTTTAAAATGACAAGACTTAATAGTGCTTCTCCACATAACTACCACTCTACAGGACCCTTAACCACCGCTTCTGTGGTTGTGAGACCTTACAATGGTTAAGGTAGCTTAACCACCATTCCAGAATAGTGCCAATATCAAAGTTAAATTTGATGATGTTAAGCACAAGTTACTAATATCATATATTCACTGTTTACTCCATTATCAGATAGACCACTTCTGCAATGTGTTAAAATCTGAAAAAACAAGAACTTTAGTTTTCTTTCTTTTTTTTTTTTATTAGAGAGAGTGAGGGGGGGGGAGAGTGAGAGAGAGAGAGAGTGAGGGAGAGAGAGAGAGAATTTTTTAATATTTATTTCTTAGTTCTCAGCGGACACAACATTTTTGTTGGTATGTGGTGCTGAGGATCGAACCCGGGGCCACACACATGCCAGATGAGCGCGCTACCGCCTGAGCCACACTCCCAGCCCAAGAACTTTAGTTTTCTCTATTTAATTGACACATAATAATTGTAAATACTTATAGAGTCAGAATTTCATTTTTAAGTAAACAGTGACTGGGTGCAGAGGCACATACCTATGATCCCAGTGACTTGGGAGCCTGAGACAGGAGTTCACAAGTTCAAGGCCAGCAAGACCTTGTCTCAAAATAAAAAAACAAAAAGGACTGGGGAAGTTGCTTAGTGGAGTACCCCAGGGTGCAATCCCCAGTACCACAATAAAGAGAGAAAAAGAGAGAGAATTACAGCAAACAACAACTGGATAACTTTGACCCAAATAATTTTGTAAAATGTAAAAGTCAACGATTTTCTAGTAGATATTGATATAGATATTCGATAATTAAATATAGTCATACCTGCAGAGTTTCCTATTCTAACATTTGTACTGGTTATTTATTTCTTTATTATATTAACTAAAAATTGTTACATTACTAAAAATCTCAAGAACTATGTTGTCAGGAATAGTAACACATGCCTGTAATCTTGTAAAAGGATCAATCACAAGTTCAAGGCCAGGGTAAGCAATTTAGCAATACCTTGTGTCAAAATAAAAAAATAAATAAAATGGTTAAGGTAGCTTAACCACCATTCTAGAACAGTGCCAATATCAGAGTTAAATTTGATTATGTCAAGCACAAAAGTTACTAACATCATATATTTAATGTTTACTCTTTGGTAAAGCAAAAGGGATGTAGCTCGTTGGTAAAGCACCCTGGATTCACTCTCCAGAATAAAAAAATAAATAAAAGCTAAATTATAAAATATTTATGGTCATAACCTTCCTCGACTTTTTTCTATTACTTGAAATGGCTTTACCATGTAGCATGTTAGCTGTGTCCTTATCAAGAAAGATGCAGGTCTTACTAATGCTGATTTTAAAAAATGACCTCAGATATATATATGACCTCATATTTAAAGGGAAACAGGGAAACACACACACATAAAGGGGAAAGAAAGGTACAGACTATTACCTATGATAGTAGTTTGTAATTCTGTGTTCTTAAACATACAACATTCTATGTTCTTAAAAATTATGTACATAATTGTCACAGAAACATGGTATAGTCTTATAAGAACACAGAAGAAACTGATTGTTTTTGAGTTGAGCTAAGACGACTAGATAGAATGGCAAACAAAATTTCACTATACAGCATTTGAATTTCAAATATGTACATGTATAATGTTTTAAAAATATTTAATTAAAAAATAAAAAACAAGCTGGGCACATATACATCTATAATCCCAGCAACTGGAGGCAGAGGCAGAAAGATTCCAAGTTCAAAGCCAGCCTCAGCAACTTAGTGAGGCCATGGGCAACTTAGTGAGGCCTTGTCCCAAAATAAAAGGCTAGGGATATGGCTCAGTGGTTAAGTATCCTTGGATTCAATCCCTCATACCAAAACTATAAAAAAGTAGATAGATAGATAGATAGATAGATAGATAGATAGATAGACAGACACATAGATACATAGATAGATACATAGATAGATAAATAAATAAGCAA